ACCAGTATCACACAGTCACCTTGTGGGGTTTGAAATGCCAGCTGATGGTAAACATGTGAAGTGCATTACTTAATATTCTAAAGAGATGGTTGTGAACTGTTTTATATTAATCACTGAAGCAAATGTTTATAAAATGCATCTCTGTATAATCACTAACTGACCTTACCTCTCAAATTCTTATGGGAAATAGTGGAAGGTAGGTTAAATTATCTATTAAAATTCATTTTTAACAACAACAATACACCGCTGACCTAGCAAAATTTGCAGTATGTTTTCCTATACTCTTAGTACATCACACTTTCCAAATATTTTTTAAAGAAATAGCACAATCTAATCAAAATAGTTTTATATTTTGTAATAAGCTGCTTTATCAATCTATAGTAACTCAGATAGGACTCCTCCCCAAGGAGTTTAGAGCCTAAAATATTCACAGTTTCTAAGAAAACATCCCCTGAGCTATGTGTGCGAGACTGTAATGATGTGAGCCAACAGCAGCACTGCTACTGTACATTAGTAAAGATCCAGAATGCTTTCCCTTTTAAGTTGGATATTTTCACTTTTTGCTGCTGGGGACACACTTTTTTTTTGTAGCACAAAATTGAATATTAGAGGTGGTGTTAAAAATTTTATACAAACTTAGATGTATTTGCTTGTAACAAAGCCTGTTGGAGGACTAACTTTTCTGTAAGGAACCCAACGTCAACTTTTGCCAAGGAGAAATCAGTAATAAAAACATTTCTAATGACAACTCAGCCTGTCTCTATGCATTTTACTTAGCCACTACTTAAGGAACCTGTAGCCTAAACTGTATGTTATGCAGAATACCTAATTTTCAAAATCCTCACTTAAAACTTAATTCAAGGGAAAGACCTCTTGATCTTACAAAAGATATTATTGCTGGAAACTAAACTGCTTGACATTATGTATTGTTCTAGCTGTAGTCAAGAGTGAATATTAATTGAGATGTTCCATGGATTACAGTGTGTATTCCACAGTGGTTCACATGTTTCCTGGTGGTCTTTCCAACAGGAATAGCACAAACAAGGGGAATAAGTCGGATCATTTTGAACCTTAGTTGTTAAGCCATTGTTCTGTTGTGCACAAAAGGTAATGCTTGGTTGATTTGCTTTATTTCTGAGCTGTTCTGATTTTTTCCCTGTGCACCTAATCTCTGACACTTCCTCTGTGAGTCATCAGCAGCTGGACCCAGTGAAACCACAGGAACTAGCTCCTGGTAAAGAGCTCTAATGGTGCTATTACTCAAGTTCAATTCTCTTTAAGCCTAGTAAAGAAGCATCATGAGTCATATGGTACAGACAAGAGTTCTTTTGCATTTGCTTCTTTAAGAAAATCAAAACCCATGCTTCGCTTTTTCAGAGTGATTACAATGGGTGTCTCCTATACCTATCTCAGTCTGCCTTTCCTTTGCAGCAAGGCTGAAATGTCATTTTCCTTTCAATTCATCATTATTTTTCTTACCCTTTCCAGTCGTACTGCCTATAATCTAAAGCAAGTTCTTACAAATAAAACAAAACAAAATTTCACAACTATTTAGCTCTCTTCTTTCTGATCGTTTTCATTGCACAGAAGTGCAATGTGATTCACACCTTCGATTCAGCTGATTTGATTACTTGTTGCTGCCATACACCTGCTGCTGTCACGGCAGTAGTCTGTATTTGTGGCACATTCCTGCTGTCTGACAGAACAGGTGGATATTGTATAGTAGATTGAAAAGAATGGTTTGAATGGTAATTGTTCTGCATCCCTGCTTACACAAACCCAGCAAAAGCTGGGTCTGTAAAATGAGTCTTATGATTTGCCTTCAGTAAATAGGACGGTCAGGTGTCTTATTTTAAACTAAAGCCAAATTTTTAACTGCAGAAGAGAATAACCTCATCAGATGAACTTTACAGTAAGATGGTTGGAAATTTTTCATAACCTTTGTTCATTTCTGATTCTCAGGCATTTTTGTACAAGACAATTTGAAGCCTTCGGAGAGTTCTGGGGGATCTCTTTGACTCTTGGTAGGAGTTCCTTTTCTCTCCTTCGATTAAAACGAGTCATTCTTAACATTTAAAAATGGTCCTTATTAAAAGAATGTCTCATAGTTATTATCCTCTCAGACTAGCATTTTGCCTTCTGATGAAGTCTTGCATGCTGGTTGTAGGAGCTTTATTGAATTGTAATGCAGTGCTGCTCAGGGACTGATAGTTTCTGACAGTCTGTAACACTGGGCAGCAGAAAAAGAAACAGTTTATTGTTCAGCTTATTGAACGGAAAGAACTACATGGCAGTTGACAAAGATCCTCTTGCTAAGTGGAGGGGTACATCTGACCATAGAGGTCTTTGAATTATCTTTAAAATATGAAACGGGGAGACCTTGAAATCCCACATGCTTCCTGAGTCAGAATTATTTCAGCAAAAACCTGAGGAATAGTACAAGTAGCATTTAATTGTTAGAAAGAACTGGAGAAACTAAATACAGAAAATATGAAACCTCCTAAAAAGAGGTAAAGTGAAACTAGTCTCTAAATCAGATCTTTTATTTATTCACACAGTTGTATTTAAATGGATTAAGAGCTCCAATACAGGCATTCCCAAATTGCAATCCACATACCACAAGTTGTACGCAAATGTCTGTGCTGTGACATGTGAGCCCGTGCAGGCTGAAGCTGCTGTCACCACTGCTGTGGATGGCAATACTTGGCAAGAAAAAGATTGAAAATCATAGTCCTGAGAGATAGATGAACAGTTTTCCCTTTCATACAAGATATTAATTTTTAGGGAAGTAGTGTGTCTCATCTAAAGTGCATACATTATTCCTCCAGTTTGAGCAAAACTAAGTGTTTTGATGTTCTCATACAATAAATGCAATCTAAATACCAGTTTACCAGCAGTGCCAAGATTTAGAATTGATTACTTCTCCCTAAACAAAGATAGTGCTATTTCTCTTCATGTGTTTCTTCAGCTAGCTATTAAATTAGTGGCAGATTGTAAATCGTGGTTCTGTAGAAGACAAATATAACAAATATTTGAAGCCAATATTGAACACATTTTTAATGTACACTTTTTCAAATATACATATCTGAGCTGCTCTGCTATGGAAAAATTTATTTTTTTTTTAAGCAGGGAAAAAGCATAAGCAGGTGAAATTTTTGGCAGACTGTAATTCTACATTTGGAAGTTCCTATAAAAAGTTTTATGACATATATTTCAAATCAGTATTTCATTCAAATCAGTATTTCATTCATATTTCACGTGCAGTGTTTAGAATTATTATTTTGATATTTTTGTTCAAGTTTTGCCTTTTATCTATACAGCACACATTAGTGTTTTAAAATTGTGCTACTGATAATTTTTCAATTTTCAGGTACATAAGGGGATATGATAGGTAACCAAAGAGTGTCGATTTTCATCCAGTTCTGACAGAGGTACTTGATGTACAGTAGAGGTTGGTTTCATATTCTTAAAAATGTTGTAAACAATTTGCAGCTGCTTGATTTTTGATGCCATCATAAATATTCATGATAATTTTCCAAGACCTACAAATATAAGGTGACCTTAGACAAAAAATCAGACTTTGGGTGGTACAGAGTGTTAAGCCATTGCTTTTTCACCTTTCTAAGAATACAGAGACAGCTGCAAAGTCTGTGCTCAACATCACATGCAGGGCTTCTGGCAAATGTTTTTCCATGTATTTTAAACAGAACCGATGAAAAGCCATTTCATTAAAGCTGTGCTAGCAGAGAGTCTGATAACACAGTTTGACATAGATATAGCAGCCCTGTAAGAAGTCACTGGGTTTGTAAGCAGTAGCTATGAACATGACTTTTAATCATGCAGTACACATTTGCCAGTGTGTAGTAGCACAGTTTTTTCTGGACATAAGAAAGGAAAGGGAATGTCAGCTTGAAAATGGATGGAAGAATAATAAAAAAAAAAAAAAGAAAAGCAAAACTAGCAAAGCTAATTATTCTGTTTCCATACCTGTTAATTGTTCAGTAAATAAAACTGACACTAAAGCATACCAAAGATATATTATGTTGTGTGATATTTTATTACTTGATAGGATACTGCATTATTATAACCATATGAAGCAAACAGGTACATTTTGCTGACCTTTCAGTAAAGTTCTCTCTTTTTGTTTTTCCCCCTGAGATTTTCTCCTTCAGTATTTCCACACACTATCTATAATAGGTATGTTTGTGTTTCAGGTGAAATTTTAATGGTTTTAGGACTAATAATATAGTGTATATGGAGACAGCAGTTGCATCAGCGCCACAAGCCAGTCAGATAAGCCAAGAATGGGAAGGTAAGGGGTCTTGACTAATATGAGAAGATGCAAGAAAAGATCTGAGAAGGTGAAGTAATTCTGCTCAGGAAGATGTAGGCCTTTTATGGGGTTGAACTTCAGTGGCATAAATTGTTTAAAGTGATGCTGAATTACACGTGCTTGCCTTAAACATTTGGGTCATCTCATATGTAATTTAAGCATGGCCTGTGTTGACCCAGATTTCTAATGGTACATCTCAGCAGGTAGTGACTAAGATGACACATTAGTGATATAAACCAGGATTTATCAAAAAATTCATAGAACGCATATTCTACTATAGCACTACATCCACAACACACCAATTTGCTGTGGTATTCAGAAGGTTTAAATAAATTACAGGTAATATTTTCATAACTACACATAGGATTTAGAAATCCATGCCCCATTTTTTTAAATTGAGGGAAAATGTTTAAAGCAGTTTCAAAGGGATTGAGGTGATGAAACACTATAAAAAAATCCTCCTAGGTTCCTCTTACATTCAGTATCTGACCATAGATGCTTAGATGTCCCTTTGAAGGTCAGTGAGATCTAATATACTAAGCATCCAAGCTGTTTTCAGAACTGTGAATTAGACCTCTAAATAACATAAGTGCTTTTGAAAATGAGATCTAGCGAAATCCTGTAGACATGTTGGTTTTAGTAAGGATATCTGAAAGACTTACCTGTCAAGTTTTAACAGCTTTAGGAGTCCTTGACAAATCATCATATTCTTCATGTATCAACATCAGAATATAAACCGAGTAGAGTCCTATAAACAGAAACAACAATATAAGCCGATCTGTATTTTAGTGTTTATTCCCAAATTAGTATGCAGCCTGAAAGAAAAGGCAAGAGAAATCCACATAATTTCAAACTAAATTCCACATATTCAACAATGTCACTGTGGTCTGGTTGGCTTGAAACTGAGCAGCCTAGTGAAAATTGCACCACCACCCAACCCCACAGAAATCATCACTACCTCTCCTTTGAGGTTTTAGAAAACATGTATTGACACTAATGCCAAGTAAGCCGATGAAGAATAATCTAAGAACTGAAGAAAGGTTAAATTTTGGTATAATCCTATATTTTCTTCTGATGTGTAGTCTTAAGACAGTGATATATGCATTATAGATCTAACTGATTATTAATCTTTATAGGATACAATACTCCAGTATAAAAAGTCTAAATTTCATTTTTCTCCCTGTAGCTTTAATACAATTTTTCTTATGCCTATAAAGCCTAGAGAATGACTACAGTAAATTAAGAAAACAAATTTGACAACTAGGTAAGCATTTTGCAAGTCAGTTTTTGAACTGTGGATATGGGAATTCTTCATGATGGTAAATAGTACCTAGACAACGGAAAGATCTCAAGAAAGTATTTGTTGTTGGTATGAAAGTAAGGGAGCACCTATGTCTGACTGTCTGGGACTATCTGTGACTATCTTATGTAGTGATGAGGACGCTTTAGATGGATGTACGTATTATTTGTAAATGCTTTCTTTACCTTAGGTAGGCAATATAAAATGCTTGGGTAGATATGCAGTTAATATGAAACCACGTCTGTGTACTTTATGATTCTTTTCGTTAAAACACCTAACTCAGACTTTTGTGAAGACTACTTTTGCAGATGGAAAAAATGCACAGAGAATGATTTTATTTTAAAACTAAAAAAAAACCCAACAAATAGCAACCCCACAACATTTTCAGGTCTGATTTTCACCAAGTCACATCCTTTTTACATTTCACGACATGACATGTCATTAGAAAATGGTGCTACTCTTGGTTACATTGGCATGTCATATTACAGTACATTAGAAAATATGATGTGCTGACATAACCATGCATGACCATTTTCCAAATGACACGTTAAATCCTTGTAGTTCATTCAGAAAGAGAGACATTTGGTTCTCAATACACATATTCTGCCTATATTGTAATCTACACATGTGAAACGTAAAAGATTGGAAAAAGCACAAAGGAAATAGTGCAATCATGAAGTTAAATCACCCTTTATTCAGTGTTCATCCAAAGTCACATCTCAGTCTCCCCTTATATTGCACATGCAGAGTGTTCAGCACAATTCCTGATCATTTATGCAAAACAAACCTCAAACAAATACAAATAATTATCTTTGAATACTAGAAGAAAACAGGATCACTTTTTATTACCTCCATAGCTGTTACAGTTGCTCTTTATATTTTATTCTTTTTCAACTTTCGGTGAGTAACATCTGGGTCTCATCATGCTGTCCAGCATTTCAACAAAGATGATGTCACTGGTGCCAAATACTTTGACAAACATGTCTACTGCATAAATCTAAAGAACTGCAACACCAGACAAATTATGTTTGCGATTAGAGACAAAATGAATCATTTGTACTGTGAGTTTAAGTACGCTAAACACAGACTTTCTTTCCAGAGGGAAGACATTGACTGGAAACTGTAATAGCAAGCAATTTTTATTTTTATTTTTTTTTTCTCTGAGAGTTTGGAGGAGCTTTTGATCTTCCAGTGTCCATTACAACCTTGGGGAAGGTTAAGTTAACCCTTTGAACAAACATTCCTAGCAGCATCCAATTCACTTGAACAAAGTAACTTAATTATCAGCTAAATTGAATTCAAACTGCTCTACAGAACATGAACTGACATAACTTAGCTCTGATGACAAGGAAATGAAAAAGACTGAATTTGTTTCTGACATGCGCTGAGGGGCCCAAACTCCCAATTTCAATTTTGGAGGCACCAGGCAGTGTGATTTTGTTGCACAGAAGTTTTGGCGCGCAGTTGGCCAAGATGCAAGTTGTGTGTCAGTGGTGCAGAGACCCACGACACCTCATCTTGCAATGCTGCTCAGAGGGCAGCATGGGGCAAGACAGCAAGAGGACAACACTGTGCAAGTCTGAATTTTCCCACTCTGCTAAGGGAGCAGAGGCTGCAACTGCAGAAAGCACTTCAGGTGCCATCTCTTCTCCATCCATGCACTGGAGGAGGAATTTCTTTCTTACCCTTTTCTTCCTGTGCACCCATCCATAACCTAGACTTTTTCAAGGATTGTTTTGTTAAAGATACAATTCAAAAGGGAATGATGCAATTCAGTATTGACCACTCGCACCAAGAATTCATAAAAGCAGCATGGCTTTACCAGTCTGACAGGCAGGACACTTCAAGGACACAGGTTTATCAAGCAGAATAGCACTACAAGCTCTGCATTTCTCTGCTGCTAGTGTGTACCTACTATGGCAGGAGTTGTGATCAGTGGTTTCTCCAATAAGAGTATAAACAAAAAAGGATGATTAAAGGAGGCACAGAAGCACCAGTTCTTGCTATCAGGCCTAAGCCTGGAACTGCAGCAATTCCAAAGGGCAATAATTGCACAGGGAATTTCTGTGACATAGGCACTAATTCACGTTACAGTCAGCTTAATAATGTAACCAACAAAAAATTCTAAGCAGTATAGGATGTACTCACCAAGATATGTCTGCTGCTTAAAAAGACAGATAATGATCTTAGCTAAGGCTCTTCAATTTCTATTTAGAAAGTAAAATATTCAAGAGAAAGATGTATTTCAGCTAGCACACAAAAGTGAAATTCTAGATTACATTAAAATGGCAAATAAGCAAACAAATCACAACACCGCAAAGGTGTCAGATAAAGATCTGAGTCCTTTAATCACACTGCTAATAAAGTTTGAATAAAATTAAGTCACCCATCATTTATAATACCAGAGTAAAAGTTCAAATATTAAGTTAAAATACGATTAACTCAGCTTTCAGCTGGCTCCAGAAGTGTTCATCTGCACTTGATATTGTGAATACTTTCACACCAGCAACTATTACTTACAGCCCTCGGGTATAACATCTTGCACCCAGAAATAGCAGGAACACATTGGTATTTTTTCCCACATACACGAATATTACCATTGATACAACTCTTTATGCTCAGCTGTGCCAATATTTCTCTTTTGCTTTCTACCACATGCCCTAGTGTAAAATCTCTCTGGTAAAACTAAAAGGACAGGGAGTTTTATAAAACAGGATAATCCTACTGAACATGCAATCAATTAACTGAAACAGGGAGATGGATATTTTCTGAAACTCCTTACAGGCTCTAGACAAACACAGTGAGATAACAATGGCAAATTGTTTAGCTTACTAATTGTAACCAAATGTATGCCATTCTATCAAAACATTCTCAGGAGGATGTCAAAGACTCTTTTTTAAATAAACATCTTGTGTCATCCTTTTACTGAAGTGGAAGAAGGGTCTCCAATAAAAATAGTGCGTATCAAGGACCCTTAAAGAGGTTTATATATATATATATATATATATATATATATATATAACTGATCTTTGAAAATGCAGCTTGAGAGGTACATTAATAATTTCACCCAGCTGGGCAATAAACAGTCCTGCCAAAAGAATTATGTAAAATTACATAAATCCTTTTTAAAGGGAATATGTTTTAAGGAGACAAAGTATAGACTGAGGTACTTCACCTTTTTTTTTCTTTTTCTTTTCACAGCTGTGTTCTACGGAAAGCATTTTAGTGTGTAAAATCTCTCTCCTTGTAAAGTACTCCAAAGAGAAGCCAAAATTCAAACCTGACTGTAATGCATAATACCAAAGTGGCATATGGTGCAAACTACAGAAAAGTTGAGCACTGAGAAATAAACAAACCTTAACCAAATAAAAAAAGCTTTTCACGTTTGAAGCAATTGATAACAATGAATGGCTAAAGGCAAACATTTTTTTCATCAAGGCAAAACTTAACCTTTAAATACAACACATATCCAAGGGGAACTACCAAATACTTAAAGCATTTGATCATGCTTAACATGTGGATTGCTAAAAAGGGAAACAGAGTTAAAACTTCACATTTTTAAAAAGAACCCATACATTATAGCAGTGGATCCAATCCTGTAATTTACATTAGCAAAACGTTTAAGCATGTTGTTATCCAAACTTCAGAGGAGAGCACAGTGCTTAAACAAGACAGCTAAAATTAAAAAAAAAAAAAAAAAAAGGATAAATCCCAGTATTTTGGTGTATCTTTTCTTATCCTCAAGATAAGAAGGATATAGAGTTGTTGAAGCAAGTCCAGAGGAGGGCCACGAGGATGATCAGGGGACTGGAGCACCTCCTGTATGAAGACAGGCTGAGAAAGTTGGGACTGTTCAACTTGGAGAAGACTGCTTGGAGACCTCATAGCAGCCTTCCAGTATCTGAAGGGGGCCTACAAGGATGCTGGAAAGGGACTCTTCATCAAGGACTGTAACAACAGGACAAGGGGTAATGACTTTAAACTTAAACAAGGAAAGTTCAGGTTAGGTATAAGGAAGAAGTTCTTTACTGTAAGGGTGGTGAGGCACTTGAACAGGTTGCCCAAAGAAGTGGTAAATGCTCCATTCCTGGCAGTGTTCAAGGCCAGGTTACACAGAGCCTTGGGCAACATGGTCTAGTTGGCATCCCTGCCCATGGCCGGGGGGTTGGAACTAGGTGATCTTAAGGTTCTTTCCAACCCTAACCATTCTATGACCCTATGATTTTGCCAGATTTGCCCTCAATAATAAATATATAAGACCTTTAAGTCTGCCTACAATGCTCAAATATGTTAATTCAAATAAATAGTAACCTTTGCATTAATTTCAGTCACATAGAATAAATATGTGAATTGAAAAGCATATGCTGCCATAGGGATTGCTAGTTAGCAACTCACTTCCCATAGTTCTCTAACAGCCCTGATATCTGAGAGTCAAGGCTGCAGAAAATGCTTCTAAAACTACTGTGAAAACTGAGCTATGAGAGGCTGAGACTGTGACTGGCTGGATTAGCAGCCTCAGGATGTTAGGGATACCATATTTGCTTTCTACTTCTTCATTTTCTGTCTTCATTATAGGCAGTGAAGAGACTGTAAACTGAGAAGTACAGAAGCATGAAAAGAAATAGGAAACTTTCTTCTAGTCCTTTTATCCTTTAGAAATCTAACTATCTGCAGAAAACAGAAGAAAAATCAAAGCACAGCATAAAAGTTTTAGCATAAGAACAACCAGACTGGAGGAGACCAAAGGCCTCAAGCAGAGTTCTGCCTCCAGCAGTGGCCAGTGGCAGAAGCATGAGGATGAGGAGACCAACCAGGTTTGGACATCCCTCTTCTTGGTTGTACCTCTCCACCTGGCTGGCAGCATGCCTGGGACTTCCTGCAGTGGAAGCTTGCTGTAAACCAGAATATCTGGTAGCTTTCTCATGGACCTCTCTTTATGGTCACTAACCTGTTACCATTGTCAAAGGATAGCATGGGACAAAAGAGAATAAAGAGCAATGAATAAAGAGCAGGAGGCAACTGTCTACAAGTGTAGTCATTGTATTGCGCTGGTTCAAGGACCAAACCAGGGGAGAGAGATTCTTAATCCACGTAAGGAATTGTAAAGCCCCATGCAATTGTTCGGTCATTGAAGGCTGATCTATAGGCTACATAAGTTTAGTTACAGGATACCAAAGCATAACTAACTGTAATGCAGTTCAAATCTTAATAATTTTAGTTGTGATTTTTTTTTAATATTACTTTTTCTTTTGTATTCAGAAGGCTAGTCAGTTGTTGATCTTGTGGAAGTATAGATGCATGCAATGGCTATAGCAAACTGAGTGGTATGTACAATGGGTAGTTCAAAACATGGCACTAAAACATCGAATTAAACCACAGTTGAGGAATTAAACCACAGTTAAGGGCACAGCATTCTTAGATGAAAGATAACAAAGAGCATTCTTTAATAATTTCTTTAAAATATCATTAAAGAAAATCAACAGCAAATGCAAGTCAGCCCTAGAGTTGCTTTAGACTCATTGGAGCTGTGGTATTAGTGTTTTGACCAAAAGAATGGAATAATATGAAATGGGTAGCTGAAATATCAGAGGGAAGAGAAAAATATTTTTAAAATTTCTGCTAGCAGCATCCAGCAATAAGTGTAATAAATGAATGCCTGAAATAGCCTTTTGTTTCCTCACATATATTTTTTTCAAGCTCTGCTGTTTACTATTACTTCTTACAGGCTTGGTGTTTCCTTTCAGACTTCCCATCTAGATCAGAACTATAAAAGACTCATAGCTTCAGAGAGACTATACAACCACTGATTTAAGTTCCACTCTAAGTGATTTTACAACCTGAGATTTCACTATGCATTTCAGCTTTGCAACCAACAGCAAAAGTCTAAGCAAAACTTTATCAGAAAACATAAAATTACTGAAGTTTCTGAAACAAAACAAAACATCCACCCAATCTTTTGAAATAACGGATTACCTCTGCTGTATTTAAAGAGTGAAGCAGGAACA